ATATATATATATACACACACACACACACATACAGAGAGAGAGAGTGTGTGTGTCCTGGTGTGGTGCTGTGGGTTAATGCACCAGACTGCGAAGCCGTTTGAACTACAAGGTCGGTGGTTCTGGCTCACCAGGTGCTTCTTAGAAACCCTATACAGGGTTGCTATGGGTAAGAACCGACTCGACAGCACTTAAAAGCAACAAAATTTATGTTGTGAAATGCTTTTTCTTTTCAGAAGGTTGTATGGTTTTTGGCTAAATGTTTAGCATATTTTTATATTTCGTCTTTTCCTTGTTAGATTTAGAATACTAAAAATGCACAATTTGATTTACTCTTTTTTAAAGAATAAAATGTTACTACTTAATGATCATAACTAGTTTCTATTGTAGGAAAGTTTACTTCTTTCCACTGGAATAAAAGCCTTTTATATTCAGGTCTCTGTTAACAATTAAAAGCATTCAAATGGAGCAGCTGATAAAAGTGATTGTCAATGAACTTGGTGGTGGACATGATAGGTTTCTAGGTTCAGTGAAGTCTGCTGAGTAAGGGAGTTGTAACCTACATATGAAAGTAGATTTTGTAAAAGGAAATTATCGAAAGTGAGAGGAACCAAGAAGGAAATAGAGGTGACCTTGAAAAATTATTTTTATCTCAATATTTTTAGCTCCTCATTTATAGAAAGTAATACTAAATATAGAATTTTTGAAGTATTTCTTATAGTAATTTTCTTGACTGCTGCTTCTATGAGTGTTGATAGTTGATCCAAGAAGAATGAAGTCCTTGACAACTTCGATCTTTTCTCTGTTGATAAGAATGTGGTTTATTGGCCCAGTGGTGAGGATTTTTGTTTTCTTTACATTGAGATGCAATCCATACTGAAGGCTGTACTCTTTGATTTTCATCAGTAAATATTTTAAGTCTTCTTGTCTTTCAGCAAGCAAAAGTTGTATCATCTGCATATTGCATGTTATTAATGAGTCTTCCTCCAATTCTGATGCCACATTTTTGTTCATATAACCCAGCTTCTCGGATTATTTGCTTCTCCAGCATACAGGTTGAATAAGTATGGTGAAAGAATGAAACCCTCTCACACACCTTTCTTGATTTTAAACTATTCAGTGTTCCCGTGTTCTGTTCGAACAACTGCCTCTTGGTTCATGTACAGATTCCTCATGAGCACAATTAAGTGTGACATCGGGCAAATCTACTGCACAAGACCTTTTTAAAGCGCTGAAGAGCAAAGATGTCAGCTTGAGGACTAAGGTGCGCCTGACCCAAGCCATGGTATTTTCATTAACCTCATATGGATGCGAAAGTTGGACAGTGAATAAGGAAGACCATAAAAGAATTGATGCTTTTGAGTTATGGTGTTGGAGGACAATATTGAAAGTGCCATGGGCTGCCAAAAGAACCAACAGATCTGTGTTGGAAGAAGTGCAGCCAGAGTGCTCCCTGGAGGCCAGGATGGTCAAATTTCGTCTCTCATACTTCGAACATATTGTCAGGAGGGACCAGTCGATGGAGAAGGATCTCATGTTTGGTAAGGTGGAGGGTCAGAGAAAAAGAGGAAGACCCCCAACGAGATAGATTGGCAAAGTAGCAGCATCAATGGACTCAAGCGTGGCAACAATTGTGAAGTTAGCCCAGGATCAAGCAGTGTTTTGTTTGTCTGTGCATAAGGTCTCTATGAGTCGGTACTGATTCGATGGCACCTAACAACAACAACAGCTTAAAGGAATCTGGGAAATATTTTGGTGTAGGGAAGAGCAGAATAAGATTGAATTGGTCATTCTGAAAAACTTCAGAAAAGGTATTTCAGATCTCGTATAGGAAAAGTATGTAGTATAGTTGTTTTTAAATGATATGAAATATGGAGACGTTGTATACTTTGGTTTTTAGCTTATAAAAAGAGGTTGCTTGATAACAGATTTAAGAATAGTATAGATTTTTTTGAGGAAAAAATTAATTGTGCCCATTTAAGGAATATTTTGATCAAAATAGTTTTGTGGTTTGCATTTTTTTTTTTTTTAATGTTTAAAAAAATTACTGCTAGCATACTATAATTATTAAAGAATTTCCCCCCAATTCTCTCTTTATAAGGTTCTCTTGATGCTTACTTTATTTGAAACCTTTGGATTTCGGTCTATTGACTTGATGGACTTGTTTATGAAGAAGGTAGTGAATGAACCCGGATTCCTAAATGAGAACAACACTGTCACTATTCTTCATGTGTATTCGTCTCTCAACCACTTCCACAAATACCAGAACAAAGAGTATGTATTGATTCTTCTGTACATTTATACTGACTTCTGACGTATTTGTCAAAAAGATTATAAATCATAAAATGAATGGATTATCACTAGGCAATATGACGGGCCTTCAAAAGTTTGTAGAAAATTAAATTGGAAAGATTAATAGGATTTGTCCAGAAACTTTTGAAGTCCCCTGGTAGGTACACCCTTAACCATCAACCATACCAAGAGATAAAACAATATTCTTACTCAGTTATGAAGGTCAACAGAATTTGATTTTATCTTACTTTTGGTTTTCCTAGTCATGCAATGGATTTACAATGTATTTGTTAATTTAATATAAGAGTTAAAGCACTCCCAGCCTATTTCTTCAGCTTTCGCATTCATAGTTCAGTATTTGGTTCTCAGCTACTGCTTTCTATTAATTTTAACCTCAGCATGACTCAAGTCATTTTTGATAAAACAAATTGTTATGATAAATATATAGGTAAGAATGCATTTGCCATTTCTACTGGCTATTCCTCACACATGCAATGCACTTTTAGACCTCTGCCTTCCACTTAGAGCATCTTTGTTTTAAAACTTTTTATTGTGAATTGAGTGAAGGTTTACAGAGCAGCAGATCATCAGTTTTCCTTCAACAAATCATTTCAGTGATTGCAATCCCCTCCATGTTACATCAGTTAGCATACTTCTCCCTGTGATTCTTGTTTCTGTTTCATCTTGTCTGAACTTTTCCTTAGGTATATACTGCCCTTTGATCTTGAACAGTTGCTCCTTGCATGGTGAACATACCTTACTAGTGTTGCTGTTCACCCTATGTAGCTGTCTACCACGTGGCTGAAACTTGAGCCACCAGGGTGAGTTCAGTACCAGGCCTGAAAAATGACCAAGGACTATCATCTGGGGTTCCTCCAGTCTTTTTCTGACCAATAAGAGGGCTGTATTTTACAATTTTGAGTTTTGTTCCATATTTTATCCTGCTCTATCCAGGACCTTCTAATGTGATCCCTCCCAAAACAGTTGATAGTGGTAATTGAGCAACATCTGCTCTTCTGGTCTCAGGGTTGTGGAGACTTGTCTCCATTGTTGTTGTTGTAAGGTACCAATGAGTTGGTACCAACTCAGAATGACCCTATGCACAACAGAACAAAACTCTGCCCGGTCCTGGGACAACTGTCCAATTGTTGCCACGCTTGAGCCCATTGATGCTGCTACTCTACCAGTCCATCTCGTTAGGGGTCTTCCTCTTTTTCTCTGACCCTCCACCTTACCAAACATGAGATCCTTCTCCACCGACTGGTCCCTTCTGACAATATGTCTGAAGTACGAGAGACAAAGTTTGGCCATCCTGGCCTCCAAGGACCACTCTGGCTGCACTTCTTCAACACAGATCTGTTGGTTCTTTTGGCAGCCCATGGCACCTTCAATATTCTCCATCAACAAAACTCAAAAGCATCAATTCTTCTATGGTCTTGCTTATTCACTGTCCAACTTTTACATGCATATAAGGTTATTGAAAATACCATGGCTTGGGTCAGGTGTGCCTTAGTTTTCAAGCTGACATCTTTGCTCTTCAGTGCTTTAAAAAGGTCTTGTGCAGCAGATTTGCCTAATGCAATACGTCCTTTGATTTCTTGACTGCTACTTCCTTGAATGTTGATAGTTGATCCAAGAAGAATGAAGTCCTTGACAACTTCAGTCTTTTCTCCGTTGATAAGAATGTTGTTTATTGGTGAGAATTTTTGTTTTCTTTACATTGAGATTCAATCCATACCAAAGGTTGTTCTCTCTGAGTTTCATCAGTAAATATTTTAAGTCCTCTTCACTTTCAGCAGGCAAGGTTGTATCATCTGCATATCGCAGGTTGTTAAGGAGTCTTCCTCCAATCCTGATGCCATGTTTTTCTTCATATAAACCAGCTTCTAGGTTGATTTGCTCAGCATACAGGTTGAATAAGTATGGTGAAAGAATACAGCCCTGTCGCACACCTTTCTTAATTTTAAACCATTTAGTGTTCCATGTTCTCTTTGAACACTTGTTTCTTGGTCCATGTACAGATTCCTCATGAGCACAATTAAGTGTTCCGGAATACTCATACTTCACAGTGTTGTCCATAGCTTGTCATGATCCACACAATCAAAAGCCTTTGCGTAATCAATAAAGCACAGGTCAACATCTTTCTGGTATTCTCTGCTTTCAGCCAAGGTCCAGCAGACATCAGCAATGATATCCCTCATTCCACGTCCTCTTGTGAACCTGGCTTGAACCTCTGGAAGTTCTCTGTCAATGTATGCTTATAGTCATTTCTGCATTAACTTTAGTAAAACTTTACTTGCATGGAATATCAGAGATATTGTCCGATGATTTCTGCATTCCATTGGGTCACCTCTCTTTGGAATGGGCCCAAACATGGATCTCTTCCCATCAGTTGACCAGATAGTTGTCTTCCAAATCTCTTGGCAAAGATGAGTGAGTGCCTCCTGTGCCGCTGCACTTTCTTGAAAGATATCAGTTTTTATTCCATCAATTCCTGGAGCCTTCTTCTGTGCCAATTCCTTTAATGCATCTTGGACTTCTTCTTTCAATATCATTGGCTCTTGAACATTGCTACCTCTTGAAATGGGTAAACATCAACCATTTCCTTTTGGTACAGTGACTCATTGTATTCCTTCCATCTTCTTTTGATGTTTTCTGCATCATTCAATAATTTGCCCAGAGAATCCTTCAATAATGAAAGTCGAGGCTTGAATTTTTTCTTCAGTTTTCCTATCTTGAGAAATGCTTAGCGTGTTGTTCATTTTTTGGTTTTCTGACTCCAGATCTTTGCACATTTTGGTGTAATATTTGACATTGTCTTCTCCTGCTGACCTTTCAAATTTTCTGTTCAGCTGTTATACCTCCCCATTTTTACGTTTGCTTTAGCATCTCTATTCTGGAGAGCAAGTTTCAATTTCTCTTCTGACATCCATTTTGATCTTTTCCTTCTTTCTTGTCTTCTTAATGACTTTTTGCTTTCTTCATATATGATGTTCTTGATGTCATCGCACAACTCTTCTGGTCTTCAGTCTTTAGTGTTTAATGCATCAAATTTGTTCTTCAGATGATCTCTAAATTCAGGTGGGATATATTCAATGTCATACTTTGGCTTTCATGAACTTGTTTTCATTTTCTTCAGCTTCAGTTTGAATTTGCATATGAGCAATTGATGGTCTGTTCCATAGTCAGCTCTTAGCCTTGTTTTGACCCATGAGCTAGTGCTTTTCCATGGTTTCTTTCCACAAATGTAGTCAAATTGATTTCATTGTATTCTCTCTGGTGAGGTCCATGTATATAATCGTCTCTTATGCTGTCTAAAGAAGGTATTTGAAATGAGCAAATCATTGACTTTGCAGAATTCTGTCATGTGATCTCCAGCATAATTTCTGTCACCAAGGCCATATTTTCCAACTACTACTCATCCTTCCTCTTTGTTCCCAACCTTTGCATTCCAATCACCAGTAATGATCAATACATCTTGATTATATGTTTGACCAATTTCAGATTGAAGAAGTTGGTTGAATTCTTCTATTTCATCCTCACTGGCTTTAGTGATTGGTGCATAAATTTCAATAATAATGGTCTTCCCTGTAGGGGCATGGATTTATCCTATCACAGAAATTTGTCATACTGTGGTGGCTTGTGAGTTGCTGTGATTCTGGAATCTATATCACAGGTATTTTTAATACCAACAGGGTCACCCTGGTGGACAGGTTCCAGATGAGCTTCCAGACGAAGACATACTAGGAAGAAGGAGTGACGAACTGCTTCTGAATATTTAGTCACTGAAAACCATATGAATAGCAGAGAAACACTGTCAGATATAGTGTTGGAAATTTAGCCCCTCAGGTTGGAAGGCACTCAAAATGTGACTGGGGAAGAGCTGCCTCCTCATAGTAGAGTTGACCATGATGACATGAATGGAGTTAAGCTGTGGGAGAAAAGCCCACAGAACCTTTATTTGCTTATGGGGCACAACTCAAAATGAGCTGTAAACATCCATTAATAATCGGAACATGGAATGTACGAAGTATGAATCTAGGAAAATTGGAAATTGTTAAAAATGAAATGTAACACATAAACATCAATATCTTAGGCATTAGTCAGCTGAAATGGACTGGTATTGGCCATTTTGAATCTGACAACCACATGGTTTACTATGCCAGGAATGACAAATTGAAGAGGAATGGTGTTACATTTATTGTCAAAAAGAACATATCCAGATCAGTCATGAGGTACAATGCTGTCTGTCTCCATTGGACTAATCATTTTCAGTTTCCGTCACTACTCTTTTCTCTGCATAGGGAAAGATGAATAATTGCGCCTTATATGGCCGCTCATAAGCTTTGAAGATCCCACTTTGTACGCATACATGTAGAATGTAGAACATTGTCTTTGTGGGCTCTTTTATACCAATTGATCATGGTACCTCCCTAGACTATGGTCCTGAGCTCTGAATCCCAGCAACTCATCCTCTCAAGGTGTTGGATAGTGTCTGAGAAGTTTCCATAATCTCCAACCCCCCACCCCATATGTTCCACCACACTCATAAGTGTGTTTGCAGCAATGGGAAATTCCTGTGTACAGATATTCTTTGTCAAACCTTTATATATTTGTAGGTATACTAATACTGTCCCTCCCATGTCCGTTCAGTGTGTGTATCTGTACACTGCTGTTTTGGGGTTGTGTGTTTGGCACTATGTACCTTTTATTCCATTTAACTCTTGCACTACTCCCTGTTTCTTCCCCTGTCTTGATCATTTTCTGCCAACCTCCCTCTTGTATATTGCCTTCCTGGTCACCCAGGTTAACACGTGACTAGAGGGTAGACATTCATGTGAATTTTTATCCCTTCTCTCCCACCCCTGGTAACCATCAAAGAATGTTTTTTTAGCATGAAAACCTTTTCTTGGATTTTTATAGTAGCGGTATGATAAAATATTTGTCTTTTTGCGATTGCCTAATCTCATTCAGCGTAATGT